TATTGAACACTTGCCCTATGCTGGGCACTAGGTAAACCACAGTTTAGGTACTGACACCTTATGCCTCTGGAAGCTGACAGTGGGCACACACACAACTGATAACAATAGCAACAACAACAGCCCTACATGAATGCAGCTCTGCACGGTCTGTGAAACTTTCAACATGTGTTGTCTCATCCAAGTCTTAGGACCGCCCTGTGCATAAACCAAAGCTGGCATCATGGAGTAGAAGAAACAGAGGCTCATGGGGTTACGTGCCCAGTCTCAAGGCACACAGATAAGAAGGCTAATCCAGGCCTCAAACCCAGGCCAGTTGCCTCCACGACCCCTCCAAAGATCCGCCAGAGAGCAGCAACCCTCTTGATGAACCAGGCTAAGGGATCCGAGAGGCTGGACAAGGGAAAGGGCAGCGGGGGCTGCTGGAGCCAACAGGGCAGGCCACGTGGGACCAGAGACACTGTTCTGATTGTTCCCACGTGTCAGCCTTGTCTCCAAAGCCAGGCCATGGTGTCCTGCAGGGCCAGCCCATACCCTAGCTTTGTTGTAATGCCACCCTTGCCTACCTGGCCCAGGACTGGACACATTCACTGGCTGGCATCCACCTTGTCAGCTCCTCTCCCTAAAGCATCCATGATAACCTGCCTGCTGGGGGCAGGGAGGGATGGAGAACATTGTGACCTGGGGATCAGAAGGCAGGTGAGGGGAGGCAAAGCTGTCCTCTGGGCCTGAGGCAGGGCCTGGAGATAGACTAGATTGGTGGTTGAACACACAGACCTGGGTTCCAGTTCAGCCTCAGGTTCTGACTTCCTTGGGGTCCTTGGGCAAGCCTCCCTGCCTTCTGAATCTCAGCCTCCTCATGTATAGAATGAGCCAGCACTAGGAAAATACTTTGAACAGAAAGGAGCTATATAAACGCCCACTGGTGTGGAGGGAGGGCTGACACTTGTTAAGCACCGACTTGACATACATTAAGGAATCAATATTAATTAGCTCTCCTAACAACAGATGGGACTCAGAGAGGACAAAAACCTGCCCAGGTAATGCAGCTGGAAAGTGGTGGAGCTAGGATTTGAACCCAGGTCCCTTTAAGCCCATTGTTCTTGCACTGCAGAGGGGCCTCCTGGTAAGAGGGCAGTGTTTGCCCAGAGGCAGTGTGTCATGCCAGGTGGATGCGGTCTTAGACCTCAGCCTTGTTACTCTGAGGCACTCATCACAAAGTCCCTAGCTTCGGAGTCTTCAGGCTTGGCCTCCTCCATCTGGTCCTCTCCTGATGGTCTTCCCAGCTCAGCTCAGGGCCTCAGGGGAGGTTTCTAGTCCTGATGGTGCCATTAGAAATCCACAGGGGTCCCTGCCCACCTGAGGGCCAGGGAGCCAGCAACCCCCTGGTCAGAAGAGGGGCTGGCGCCAGGGCCCAGCTGGGGCCTGGCTGGGGTGGGGACCCCAGGAGAGGGGAAGGCGCCAGCTCATTAGACAGAAAAACAATGGGGTATATCTAGGCCTCCTTCTCCTGGGCTCTGGAGCAGTGACACCTCCTCTTCCTCCTCTCCAACTAGGGCCAGGATTATGGGAAAGGCACATCAACCCTTCCCCCCCAATACCCACTGTCCACTTCTCTGAAATCCACCTCCCAATTGCCTAACACCAGAGAGGGGTCAGGAAGAGGGGTGAAGAGGGGTGCAGATCAGGGTCCCGGGCGCTTACTTCAGCAGGGACCGCGCCCCCACACACCGGTGAATGTTTCTGGCTATTCCTGAGCCATCCATCCAGACCCTCCCCCCCACAGCTGGGCCTAGGATCTCTGGGCTGACTGAGACTCTGCACCTGCACACACCTGACAGTCAGTGCTGATCCAAATCCACAGAGGGTCCTGGCCATGCCAGGCCTGGGGTGAGGCCCTTCTGGCCAGGCAAGGCTGGGGGAGGGGCCCACGGTTCCCTCTGTCCAGCATCAAGATTTTTGCCCCAAGAAACTCGGACACCCCAGCTTGCTCCCATCTTTATGAGAGGCTTCGAACTGGGCACAAGCAAGGCTGGCTGCCTCCTCTGAGCTCTCAAACCAGACCCCAAGCCACAAAGTGGGGGAGAAGGCAGCCTCTGCGCCCCCTCCTCCAATTTCAGCTCAGAATCTCCCGGCCTAGGACACGGAATGGCGGAGGCAGCTGGCTGCACCACGGATATGCAGCGGCTATCAGTCTGGACTTGAGGCTGAGGGGGATTCTGGGGGCTCTGTCCAGGGAAGGGACCCCATCCCCAGGCCGCCCTTCATTCCAGAGGGCTGGCGTGTGCGTGCTGGGGGCGGAGCGGGGTTGGGGGGTGGGGGTGAGCGGGGGCAGATCAGTCCGGGCTGAAGGGCGGGGCGCGGAGACCGGGTCTTCTCACCTGAAATTGGGCGGCGACGCGATGTGGAGCCCCAGGAACGGGGAGGCGGCAGGCGGGGACGCGGCCCCCCCGCTCAGGCCGCCGCTCTCTCGCTCCGCCATTCTCCGGCACAGCCCTGGCCATCCGGGCGGAGCGCGGCGCGGCGGCGGCGGAGGCGGCGGAGGGGCGCGGCGAGAGGCCCCCGCCGCCGCTGCCGCGGGGCTCGGGTTTGACCTGCGCGGCGGGCGCACCCGCGTCGGGCAGAGCGCGGCAGCGAACCGCTCTCGGCTCCCGGGACTGGCGGGAGCGCCACAGCGCGCGCCCCCGGGCCCTGCCTGGGGTCCTGGGCGCCCCGCCCCGCCCCGCCCCGCCCCGCCCCTGGGTAGCCCCGCCCCTCCGGCGCTCTCCGAGGTGCTGAAGTCGTGGTCCCCGCGGCCGCCGGGCTCAGCCCAGTTCCACCCTAAATCACATACTGCTCCTCCCGCAAAGCTCCCCGCACCCCCTCCGCGCCCTGCGGGCTCTGCTAGTCGGAGGGGTGGGAGGTGAGGGGTGGGCCTAGAGTCCAGGTATCAGGTAACTAATTGCGGGACCTAGTTCTCGCCCTGCAGACAAAGAAGGCGGACTGGCAAGAGGGTAGTGGAAGAAGGCCGCAAGGGGTGAGGAGGTGTCCGTACTGCGCTCCTACAGCAGACAGGTTTGGAGTCAGTGTGTGACTCCAAACCTGTCACAGCCTGGCTCCCCAAGTGAATAGGTGATGTGGCTTTGCATTAGTAACTTAGCAGTCCTAAGGTTTGCTTTTCTCATCTGTGAAATGGGGACAATAATGGTCCCTCTCATGGTTGTTGTGGATGAAACGTAATACAGGTGTTGTCACAGAGGCTGAGTAGAGCCCATCTCCTGCTGGGGTCTAGGTCTCATCCTATCCTGTCCCCTTACCTTAAAGGGACCCTCCTAAGGACTCTGCCTAGAGGGTCTTCTCTTTAAAGATTGACCCAAGCCCCATTTGAGCCCCAAACAGCTACTAATGGTGAACTGAACCCTTCCTCTTGGTTTGTCTCTGTTTCTCCTTTTTCATGTCAGTACTTCCCCAGACTTTCCCCCTCTCACTTAGCATCCCCATTGCAATTCCTGCAAAGTATCCCTCTTTTGCACCCACAGACACCCCATAGACGGTTTCTCACATTCTAAGACTCGGGGCTTTTCCTTCTACCTACATAGTTATGTTCTTGGGATTCTGCCTTTCTGTTCCCTCCGGCACCTCTGTCCATGTTAGTTTCAGGCTATGGTTTCTTCCTGGTCTTCTCTCCCCCAAGAGGGCAGGTCTGTGAGTTCTTTCACAGAGCAGATTGCTGGACATGCAGGCTGCTGGCCAAGGTTCGGGCCCCAGCTCTGAGGGGTCATACAGCTTCTAGCCAAACCTCACTGGTTTCTCTGGCCACCTGAGAGAACTGCACAGGTCCTGTCCTTTACCTCACTCCGAAGAAGGGGCAGAGCAAACAGCTTCACAGCTTATGGAACCCTATTTGCAAAGCTGGAATGCCAACTGGTTAACCACCACCTTTTCCTTCAATGTGGCACCCAGAAAGGAGCTGTAGGCACCAGCCCTGCAGCAAACAACCCCTAGCTTGGGCCCCAAAAACAAACATCTCAATACTTGGAGCCCAAGGCCTTGGTTTCCCTGCCCCAGGCCCAGAGGAATGACCACTTTATCTTTCTTTCTGTCTTGGCCCAGGCTCCTTTCACTATACCCAAACAGTAGCCACCTACTGCTATGCTGCCTGGCTTTTCCTCCCAGGAAAGCATCTTACCATAGAAGCTAATAATTGTTCCTTAGAGTGTGTGCTTGTCTCAACTAGGGAGCATCCTCAGGTTAGAGGTGTGTGGTGGTGGTGGTGGTGTGTATGTGTGTGTGTGTGTAGGAATACTTCATCTTCCAGAACCTTGTGCTCAGGAACAAAGTTATCCCTTTGTTCTTAGCTCCCAAGGCCAAGCCAAAGCCACATTAGCTAGAAGCCAGGAGAAGGGAGAGAAGGAAGGGGGCAATCAGTAGCTTTAAAGCACAGCCAAGCCCCAAAGTCCAGTTCCTCCCTTTCCCCCTTTTTCACTGTTTGGGGCAGCTTGTGATCTTCTCTGGCCTTGCCTGAGCCCCTCCCACAGGAAGTTGGAGTGTAGGCTAACACTTTCACTTCCAGTGGTCCAAGGGTTGAAACCCCCACAGGAAAGCCCATGAACACTGCAGAGAGGGCCACTCTCTGGTCGGCTGGCATGAGACAAAGTCAGCACCCAGGTCTGGCTTTGGGCTTGGCTGTGGGAGCTAACCACCTAACCAAAGCCAGAGGACTTACATCCCTTCCGCACCACACAGCTTTGGCTTAAGTGTCCGGGTTGAAGTAAAGAATGAATCAAGGGCCTGATGGATCCTCAGCCTGGGGGGTTTAAGTGGGCCAAAGGCAGGGTCAATGCAGAATAGCACTCAGGGACCTCATCCTGGGCCTGGAGTGCTCCGTGCCACCCTGACTGATTGCCCTCAACTCTGACAAAGATCTGGAACTCCAGTTGCTCACCTAGGAACCTCCCCTTCCCCCATCCTTCCCCAACCCCACTTCCCTGCCACCCCCAAGGAAGGGTAGGAGGCTCCTGGCTCCAGCAAAACCAGGATGCTCTGGCTTAAGGCTCCATTCAGGCTCAGCCTGACTGACTCTCAGTCCCCGGACCTTCCACAAGACTGACGACAGTACGGCTTTACTCAGACAGGATCAGACATTTATGAAACAAGTGAATGTTCACAAACAATCTGGGGGAGAAACACACGTTCCCAGAATAGAAAATCTCTGTATAAAGTGCATTTTGCCTGCAACCATCTCTTCCCCATGCTGGCCCTTGGATCAGGATTTGGGGCAATGCTCTGCGGCGGCCCCCAGGGACACCTGGGCTGGGGGGGACACAAAGCCACCGTGGAGCTCCAGGCCACTGGACACACCCTTTCTCACCCCCACTCCATTCCACAGGGAGTGGGCCAGCATGCCAGGGTTGGTGAAGTGGAGTGTGTGGTCTGGCCAACTTGTACCTTAGGGAAGAGAGCCATCCTCAAATGGGCTCATCCTGACATCTGAAGGCGCTGCTAAATCAATCCCGACTCTGGCCCTAAGCCCTCCGGCCTTCTCAGTTTCTCAGGCCAGCCCTTCCAGGCTTGCTCTGCTCCCCTTCGGGCAGTAGCTCCCAGTTCTGCCTCCTCCTGGCTGGGGCTAAGGGAACAGGGACGCCCCCAACACAAGGCTTCAAATACACACAGTCACCTGTGCGCCCCCCCCCCCCCCAGTAGGGACATTTTCAGTGAGGGTGACATACATACAACATTTGGACTCTAAAGGCAGCTCTCTGGCTGAGAATATCTGCGGACATGTCAGGACAGCTGGAGACGGGGCCTGAGCCCGGAGCTCCAGCCCAAGGACAGAGAACAGTGAGGGGCAGGGCTGGGGCCAAGGCGTTGACAGCTGGGAGGCTAGGGAAGGTCACAGGGAGGTAGAGAAGAGAAGGCCCAGAGGCCAGCTTAGTGTTACACATGAGGACAAAAATCCAGAGGAACCAGCTTCTCAGCCATGTGTGCACACGCACATGCATACGCACACACACACAACACGCACGCACACACTCTGTGGCTCAAGTGCAGGCCACGGGTGGAAGGAAGACGTGCTGCAGCTGACCACAGTCCTTTCCATTTTGCCTTTCTCATCACAAGCCTTCGGCGGTGGGAGGGTTGAGGTGGGAGGCACAGGCCACTTCTGGAATGTAAGGCCTCGGCGTCTCTGGGCCAAGCCTCCCACCTGCTGCGTCTGGAAGGGTTGATGTGCTGGGTGGGCTCTCTGCTTGGACCTTAATCAACTGTCCCTGACAGTCCCCACCTGAGTCCACCTGTCTGGGTCCTTGGCGTCCAGCTATTGGCAGAGCTGACACGGCAGCCTGGATGCTGACCGGTCCCGAGCAGGCAGAGGCTAGAACCAGGCTCCCCTGGGCGGGTGTCAGCTGACCTCAGAGGCAGCACTGTGGTGCCCTGGAGTGTGGCCGGAGGAGCCGGGAACCTGGCCTCCTCCTGGTGGAGGCACTGGGTCTCCACAGTCAGCTCTGAGGCCGGCTCTCAGCTTCCAGGGGAGGAGCGGTGACAGCTGGGACACTATTTCTAATCTTAGGTTTCCAGCCCCTACACGGTGAATGTACTTCCTAGCCTGGCATCTGCAGTGCCGAGCGTGCAGGTACTGGTACTTCTGAATGATGGCCGAGAGTTTTCAGATCTGTCCACAGCCTTGTTCTGTGTCCGAGAGGCCTGAGGAAGGGCCAGGAGGACCCAGAGGCAGAGAATTTTATAATAAGAAGGAAGCCAGGCCAGGTGACTCTGTCCACTCCAGCCTGCTCAGCGTCCAGGGTCAGGAGGAGCTCAGCAGGGCTCTGGCTGCTTCTAGAATCCCATGCTCTGAGTAAGAGCCAGAAATGTTGCCCTTCTGCTCCTCCGTCTGATGTGAGAAGGGAGGGAGGGAGGGCTGGGGGAGGGGCAGACGCTGGAATCCCAGCTAGGGTCCTACCACTCTTCTGTTCAGACAAGGCAGCTGGCTCGCAGGGACAGGTAGTGGCTGAAAGTCACAGCCATGACCCCCAACCTGGTGTCTGAAGGCTGAGGTGAAGCGGCTACAGGTACTTCTCCAGCCCAGGCAGTGCTCAGAATCACAAGAGTGTAAACAGACGCATGCACACGCAAATAGGCACACCACTCCTTCCTCTGCATGCGCGCGCACACACGTTCGCTTGATCTGTCGTGATCAGCTTCTCTGCAGGCTGCTCTCTGCTGCGGTGGTGGCTGCTTGGGCACCCAGGCTTTGCTCACGGAGCCACAGCTGCAGCTGAAAGAGAAAAACAAGTGCTAAAGGAACATTCAAGAGGCTGCTCAGTTGCCCAGGGACACAAGCTCCTCTGTCTGCTGCTCTGGGGATGCCCAGGCTGGAAACTAGGAACTGGGAAGAGCGAACCACATGGGCCACAGTGTCCAGGGACAAGGTTGTTGCTGGGATGCCACCGGGTACATGAACACTGCCCCTCTGAGATGCTGATGCAGGACAAACTCTCCCCTGCAGACCTCTGGGCCTCTGCTGCTCCAGGACGGGGGCGGGGCATGTGAGGCTTATACGAGGTCTTGGGAGACATTGCTCAGATATGACAAGGGCAGTTTCTGAATCAAGGCAGAGTGGCTGCCGCCAGAAATGGAGAGCCAGAAAAAATGGCTGGCAGAGAAGTCAGTCGGGACCAGTAATTTTGAAGATGACTGAGTTTAGAAATTTCCACGTATAGAGAAAAGAAAGGACTGAGTTTAGAAATTTCTATGTATAGAGAAAAGAAAGGACTGAGTTTAGAAATTTCCATGTATAAAGAAAAGAAAGAACCCTGGTAGGTGCTAGAGGACTGAGGAGAGGAGAGAAGAGACATGAAGACGATTCATTTTAAAGATTTATAATATCCTGACTCTGGGGCAGAGGGAAGAAATGGCTTCCTGCCTGATAAGAGGCCGGGGTAAGCCCATCACAGTGTGGGGCGGCCTGTTGAAGTAGGTCTGTCTGAGAGCATACAGACCCTCAGTGTTCTGTTCAAAGTCTGTACAGTGTAAACACCAGTGAGGCAGGTAAAAAACTCACTGAGCCTATGGGTCAGGCCCTATACACTTGTGTTATGGCTGAATCGTGTCTCCCCAAAATTCACACGTTAAAGTCCTAACTTTAGAATGTGACTGTTTTTGGAGACAGAGTCTTTAAAGAGGTAATTTAATAAAAATGAGATGATTAAAGTGGGCCCTGACCCACATGACTGGTGTCCTTATAAGAAGAGGAGATGAGGTCACCTGCCTCTAAGACTTTTATTTTTATTTATGTTTAATTTTTTTTCTTTATTGATTTCAGAAAGAGGAAGGGAGAGACAGAAACATTGATGAGTGAGAACACTGACTGGCCGCCTCCTGCATGCCCCCCACTGGGGATTGGGCCCACAAGCTGGGCATGGGCCCTGACTAGGAATCGAACCAGTGACCTCTTGGTGCATGGTGTTGATGCTCAACCACTAAGCCACACAAGCCAGGCCTGCATCTAAGACTTTTAGTCTCCAGAACTGTGAGAGAATAAATTTCTGTTGTTTAAGTCAGCTAGTTGGTGCACAAGCAAACAACCCATTAACCCTGAGGATATGGCCTCCATTTTTACAGATAAGACTGAAGCCAGAGAAATAAATAAATTGCCCAAGACCACAGCACTCAGAGGTGGCAGAGCCAAGGAGGAAACCCAGGCCTGTCTGATTCCAAAACTCATGTGTTTACCACTAAGTAATCTCGATACTAGAGCATTGCTCATTAAGACTTTTAGAGGATATAAAAAGAAGAAATTCAACATGGTGGCATGAAGACACATCTGAGCAACATAAATGGAAGCACAGATGTGAACAGAAAAGGAAAAATGCTGTCGAGAATCAAAGAAATTGGACTCAGGGTTTTAAAACCAGTCTTCTGACACATGTAACCCTTTTAAGACAAATGTTAAATCTGAAGATGATTTTATCTAGATTTTATCATCAGATAATTTCCCTGAAGTGGGGTAAACGAAAGAGCAAATGTAGCTGGGCTGGTGTGGCTCAATGGATTGCGTGTAACCCCATGCAGCCAGAGGTCACCGGTTCGATTCCCGGGTTGCGGGCTCGAGGCAGCTGTTTCTCTCTCTCTCTCTCTCCGTTCCTTTCTCTCTAAAAAAAAAAAAAAAAATCAATAAAAACATATTTTTTTAAAAAAGGGCAAATATAGGTGTGGTCAACTGTACTGTCAATAAGTACTGAATGCCTCATTCTTTAAGATGTGTATTGTTTTCAACAACTTTTCCCTTTAAGCGTGTGCTATAATAAACCTAGCCATATCTTTCCACTACAAATAAATGTTACTAAAGTGTATACACGTTTACTGAAACATGACTCTACGTATTTCACACGCAGGTCTCTCCAGCCCCTGCTGCTAAGCCAGAGAGACGGCCACTCTGAAAGGAAAGTTTGGACTGCAGAGCAGACCACACAGGCCCCGGCCGATGCCTCCATTTCGTGTGTTTCCTTCCCCTTAAGGCATGGGGGAGAGAGTGCTCGAGGGGCCCTAGGACACGGGCTCTTACTCTGGGGGCCCTTCGGGGTCCGAGGAGGGGCTCGAGGGCAGTCCACGAAGACCCTGAAGTCCTTTGCGTGGTTTTTCTGTGCGAATAGGTGCAATTTTCTGGGAAGAGGCTCCCTCCTTCCTCAGATTCTCAAAACATGGGTAACCCAAAAAGGGTTGAAGAGCCAGTGCCTCAGCTTAGAAGATAAGGGAGTGAGGTGCACTCAGGTGGCTATAATGATAACAATTCAGACCCCTGTAGACTCAGCCATGACTTAGGTGTGGGACAGGCTAATGAAGGGAGATGACGGTGTCCTGGCCTCAGATAAGCCCCAGTGACCCAAGTCCCTAGATGATGGGTTCAAAACCACAAGCACAGTAACCTGAGGTTTGGAAGAACCAGCTCGTCCCTGACTACAAAGCTGGTGCAGGCCTGTTCAACCAGTTACTCAAGGTGCTTGATCAGCAGACAACGAGGTGGTCCCTGTGCTCTGGTCTCAAGCAAAGGCACAGGTCTGTAGAAAAAGGGGTCTGGGGAAATCAAATGAGGCCTTGCAGGAAAATGATAACAGCAGCATGAAAGGAAAGGGAGGAACAAGGAGAGGCACCAGGGGAAAAATCAACCATAAAACTTGCACTGAAAAAAATCAAACTCTCAGTTGTCTGACTCTTTTGCCCTGTCATTAATGCAAGAAACACAGAGCCCTGGCCAGTTTGGCTCAGCGGTTAGAGCATCGGCCTGCGGTCCTGAGAGACCCGGGTTCGGTTCCCGCTAAGGGCACCTTACCTCGGTTGCAGTTTGTCCCCGGCCCTGGTTGGTCGTGAGGGTGGCAGCCACTCGATGTGTTCCTTTCACATCGATGTTTCTCTCTCTCTCTCTGTTCCTCTCTCTCCCTCCCACTCTACCTGAACAAAAAATGGAAAAATGTCCTCGGGTGAGGATAAAAAAAAAGAAACACAGAAGCAGGTGGAACACAAAATAAACGAATGACTGCCTCTCTCAGGGCGCCCATTATTAGTTAGGACGGCCCCCTGGGCCCCTGCGGCCTCACACCCTTTCTTGTCCATTGGATGCTAACAAGAAACCCAAATCTGCAAGACCACTCTTCCCCTATCCAAGCCGAGGAAGGATGGGCACGCATGAGCTATGTCAGCAGAGGGTACCACACTGGCTCAAGGGCTACAGGAAACTTTGGAGCCTGTAACCAAGTCTCAGATGTCACCCTCTCCCCACCACACTGGGCGAGGCACAGTGCCCAAGCACTCAGGAGTGGCAGAGTTTGCTACCAGCTCCCAAGTTAGGAGCAGGGAGTACAGAGGTGCAGCTGGGCCTGGATGGGACAGAAAGCTGAGCTCTTGAGCTCAGTGTCATTCCTCATATCAGCCACCCATGTACCCTTCCTGCATCACACAAATCATACAGCCAAAGGGAGGGGGCCTCAATCAGTCTACAGCTACTGAGTAAGTGCCAGAGAAATGGCAGTGGACGGAGCCCCAACTTCTTATTTCCAGGTCAGGAACTGAGAACCACAGAGGTGAGGCAGCTGGTGCGAAGGCTCCCAGGCACTGAATGGCGGGACAGGGTGCAGACCCTTCTCATGGTGAGTGTGAAGCTGGGGCTTCCTGAACACCATACCGCCTCCACTTCTGTGTACCATTTTACAGACTGTCCAGTGCCTTTCACATACATTCTTTCATGTAAGGAGGGATCGCAACTACACAAGTGTTAAAAGGCTATGGAAGCGATTCCAGAAGTCAGGTTTTCCCCAGTGAAGCCCAGGGCTAACCAAGCTCTGGTGAACTGCTGGAGGGGGACAGGAAGAGGTGATCCTTGGCCATGAACCTTTTGTTCATGGGGCTTCTCTCAATAGATCACTATGTTCCAGCAGAAAGGCAAATGGATCATGTGAGTTGTTCCCCCTATGGTAAAATAACTGCACCAATGAGAAAAAATCTGTACACAATTGAGGCTCATGGAATCCTGAGCAGTCAGCAGCTTTGGGGATCATGGGGTAGCAGCTGAAATGCTAGCTATTTGGGGGCTGGCTTATTTTTCAGTTCGGTGAACATTGTACAATAAAACCAAATGGGTCTGAGGTAGGCATGGAACCTTCTGATATGAGGGCATGTTTTCCCACAAGATCAGTTTAAACTATAAATCACTGTCTGTCCAGTGAATGGCCACAGGCCTGAGGCATTAGAAATAACAGAACCATCAAATTATAGCGCACAGCTGACCAGGGCCTCCAAAATCCAGGATGGAGCCTTCAGGCTGGTAAAGAATGACAGTCACACCTCACAGCTAAAGCATCTCAGAAAGGTTACCATCCTAATCCAAGTCACACAACTAACATGGACAGAGAAGAGGGGAGAAGGGGACGAGTCTCCTGCCTCTCAATGTAAAGCTGTGACCACTTTGGCCGAGAGACCACTGCTCTGTGTGCTGGCTCTGACCGAAGAAACAGTAACACAGTCAAGGACACCCTGAAAAGCACGTGCAAGGTGGTAATGTGATTTCATCTGTGTGGTGAATGTTACTTATTCAGTGGCTTTTCAGGTATGTTTTGTCATTTTCTTTTCCTAACATGTTTGCTCGGTGGGTATGGGAGGTGACAAGATGCTATTTTACAGACGAGGATGCTGACGATCTTTAGGCCCAGGTGCTATCACCAGTGTACAGGGAAACACAATTTACTCTTTTCTCTCAAGGTGTCCAAAGGACACAAGTGGTCATCCCAGTCTGTCTTGTCCTCTGACCTCCTGGCCCTTACTTCTAACCAATTAGCCATGAGTTAAGGCCAGAGTAAATCTTGAGAATTAGTCCTTAAGATCCCAATAGGCTGATGGACAATCTACTGGACTACAAGGCAGGAAACAAGCACTGACCTCTGCATCCCTGTAATGTCACTTGAAATTACTGCTACAGCCTCTCAGCTGGCTCTCTCCTGCCACCATCTCCTCTGCAGGTCCCAGCCCACTGCCTGGCTAATCTTCCAAAAGTGCCAGCTTGATCATTTCACTCTCCTGTTCCCAAAGTCCTTAGCTCCCAGAGAGCAGACCTGACATCTAAGACCCTCCATGATCAGACTCAACTATAACATTATATTCTTTGAAAATAATAATGATAACTATGTCCATCATCATCATCATCATTCATTGTCATACCAGGCTTGGGGCTAAGTGCCTTCTGTATTATGCAGACACTCCCGACTGTCAATACTTCCTGGCTAACAGAACCTAGATTTTGTTCTGTGGGTTGTGGGCCTGGCCCAGCCAATGGGTCATGATTGATCTAAGTCAGTGATTCTCAAAATTCAGTCCCAGAACAACATTATCATCAACCACTGGGAATCCGTCAGAAATGCAAATTCTAAGGTCCCACCCCAGACCCACTGAATCAGATTCTGTGGGTGGGGCCCAGCAATCTGTGGCTTAACAAATTCTCTCAGGACCGCAGGCTGATGCTCTAACCGCTGAGCCAAACCGGCCAGGGCGGCTTAACAAATTCTCTAGGGGATTCTATTGCTCACTCTAGTTGAAAATCCAATAGTCTAAACTACTCTGGACAAGCAGGATCCCTACTTCCCACCTGGGGGGTGGCTTTATGACTCAGTTCTGGCTCATGAGACCTATGTGAAAAGCCAGGGGAGGGAATTCTGGGAAAGCTTTCGTGTTCTTGATGAAAGAGCGGCATTCCCTGACAACCCTTGTAATATAAAACTGCAACCTCCACTGTGTCCCCACCTTTACTTTCTATCTTCTGACCCAACTTTATTTTTTCTTCATACCACCGAGGGCCTACTGACATATTATTCATCTATTTGATTTCTGTCTGTCTCCTCCCACTAAGACCTGAGAGGAAAGGAATTCTGTAAGTCTTGCTCACAACCACATCCCAATGCCTACAATCCCAGTGTCTGGCAAATTGTGATCACTTAACATATGTTTACGGAATGAAGGAGTACAGCTGTCTCTGCTATTCCTTCTCTTCCCTGCTTTGGATGAGGAATTGATGGCTGGAGCTGTGGTAGCCACCTTGAGTCCACGAAGCAAGACAGCCTCTGCTGTCAGCATTGTTAAGCCACCAAACCAAACCCAGCAACACCCAGCTCTGGGCCTCTTGTTAGGCAAGAAAATAAATCCCTATCTGTTTTAGATACAGTAGTCAGGTTTTACTCCCAGTAGCCCCAAACATTCCTATCTGACACATGTTTAATAGTTTAGTCTTTGCAACAATAACCTAATTTGTAGGTGAGGAAACTGAGTCTCAAAGTGGTTAAGTAATTTGTATAAGATCACCTAGTCATTAAGCTGTTTTCTTGTCCGAAATGCCCCCTAAATCCAATTCACCTTTCAGGCCCGGGCGTAAACCTGTATATTGTATTCCCTGACCACTGGGCCCACCAACAGCAGTTGTGTGGTAAGTGTGCAGAGTCTGTAATGTTTGTCTAGGAATCACGGTTACACTTCGTTTTCTATGCAGACTGTTAAATCCTTGTGGATACACATCATGTCACATTTTATATGTCCTATGCTCCCCTTTCTCACATACCTGTTGGCAACAATTTCATGCTGAATTGAACCATGAGCTTACTGAGCAACCCTGACCGGACATTTAACCTCTCTGTTCTTTGGTCTCCTCACCTGGACGTCGGACTATCAGCCTGGCAAGTTTCAGATTTGCAGAACAGAATGAACTTTGCTTAGTATCAGAGTTAAGAGATAACAAAGAGAGCCGTCTCTAAGGCTGCCGTGCTCCCAGAACAAGATAGCACAAATCTGTCCATCAGCAAAGAGCCTAGTGGGGTCAAGGGCATATGCATCAGACACTTGCTGTCTCACCGCACTGAAGCCTGGACCATCAAACCAGGTGGCCCCGCCCAGTCCTGAAGCAGAGGGGTTTGGAAAAAAGAATCCATCGGCTCCAAGGACAAAATCACCCTCCAATCTCATGGCACGTACGGAACAGCCTGAAATCATGACTCAAAGAGGACAATCATTTATATTTCTCTAAGAAAGGCATAAATGGCCCTTCCTGCTCTAGGGAAGGAAGAGTCAGGTTTTTTTTTCCTCCTAAACAGCTTTCAGGGAGTTTCCAAGAAAGATGAATGATAACAGGAAAGCACAGAGCCAAAGCCAAAGCCATAATAAAGGTGAGAATGGAGGAGTGGCTGTAAGAAGAGGATGGGGAGGCCCCCCCCCCCCCATCGGTCCTTAGGTGGGGCTGGGCTGAGTGTCTCTTCTGAAGGTAAGTGCTGCCCTCCCCTGGCCTGCCTACAGAACACAAGCCACCCGGAGATGGCAGAGGGGCCCTGAGCAGCCTCAGACCCTGCCACGGGGCTATTTCTTCTACAGCTTCCCATTCAGGTCTCTGCTCACTTTTCATTAGATTTGACTCACTTTGAAAAGTAGAAAGAGCTCCCACTGATCCTCAATTTTTTCCCCTTAGTTGGCAAAGAAAGAAAAGGGGTTTACTTTGAAATTTCCTTTTAAATTTTAGCAGGTATAGAAGTGAAGATGGTAGAATTTTTTAACTGAAATCCTACAAAATCATGCAGTTTCCACCAGCTTTTCTTTGAGAATAATTTTTTTCCATTTCTCTCCAGATAGAGAGAGAGAGAGTGAGAGAGAGAGAGAGAGAACATCGATGTGAGAGAGACACACTGATTGGTTGCCTCCTGCAGGACACCAACCAGGGCCAGGGACCAAACCTCAACTGAGGTACGTGCCCTTGACTGGACTCGAACTAGTGACTCTTTGGTCTGTGGGCCAACCCTCTAACCACTGAGTCAAACTGGCCAAGGCCCACCAACTTTTAATCTGTTTACTGGGTCTTAACCTTCAGCAAGAAGGGAAGTAGTTTTCCAAACCTGCCCCCACCTCTCTCCCACCTTCCCTCCTGAGGCGGAGTCTAAGCTGCTGTCACTCACTCTCAGACATCCCTGCTCGGCAGCTCTGGGGCGGGCAACTCTGCCACCCTGGCCCGTTTGCTGAGTTCTTCACCGGGAGGCTCCTCGGCTGCTTCCAGCTTGCGTTTGGGGGACGCTGGGCCACTGGGTAGTGGTCTTGGGCCTGTAGGGAAGCAGGTCAGAGTGTCACACAGGTTGTGTATGGAGCCAAGATGACCTGCAGCTGTGCAGAGGCAGCTCTGTAAGGGGCAGGGAGCCTGCTCATCAATGCAATGTTGCTCCTCAGGCCTGACCCTTCCTTTTAGCAATGACCTTGCCTGCAAATGTCCAAGGAGAGCACGACCAGGAGTGTTGGCAGCAGAGCCAGATTTGGGGCCTCAAATCTCCTGGGCTCCAGGCCTGATTTGGTCCGTCTGCTGTCCTTGCTCTGAAAGTGAGGAATTCCCACCGTGCCCCTGCACACACCTCCTGAAGCAGGAAGGAGCAGCGCCCTCACTGGCCATGCTGAACAAACCAGAAAGCCCTGGAGTTCCTGCCAGTCTCCTTACTGATCCTCATCCCAGAGCCGAGAGAGGAGGCTAGAATGCAGCAGGGCTATTACTTCTCTCTTTCCTGCCACCATGGGCCAGGCTGCCTTCGCCTGCCTGGACAGCTGCAGTCGCCTCCTTTCTAGCCTCCCTGTGCTCACAACTGCCCACCCTGCCCCTGCCACACAGCAGGCAGAGGGAGTGTGGTAAAACTGAAATCGGATGGCGCCCCACCCAGTGCCCGCCACCGCTGCCTTCTCAGTGTGCCGACCACAGACCGGTGCTACTCCTGCTTCCGCTCGCCCTCCTCTCTCGTTCCAGTTCCAGCCCCTCACTCGGCACGTGCCACCGCACGGCCTCCTCCCGACCTTTGTTCCTTGAATGGGTTGAGCTCGTTCCTGTCTGAGGCTTTTTCTTTGCCGGGAATGCTCTTCCCTCAGTTCTTGGAGAGGCTGGTCCTGCTCACTACTTGGTCCCAGCAGAGAGGTGTTCCCTGACTACTGTGATCTACAGTCACCGAAGTAACCCCCTTGCCCCAGCCTTTCTCCTAGCAGGTCACTCGATTTTGTTTTCCCAGAAGCACTGTCACCTGAAGTGATCTGCGCAGCTCCTTTACCAGCTGTCTGCCCCAGGTGGGACATAAGCTCCACTGGGCCCAAATTTGTTTTGGCCTTTGTCACCAGCCCTCAGTGACTGCAGTGGTGGTTCCGCAGTGCCCTGGGGATGGGCACAGGCCGCCGCAGCCCTCTGCTACCCACCTGCACTGCCCGAGCTCCCCGTCTGGCTTGAGGTGGGCTCTGCCACTGGGCTGCTGAGGTCTTCCACGCAAGAAGGGACAGATGCCAGCAGACCTGGGAGAGAGACCGGGGAGTCATCAGAAGACACTCACAGGACTGCAGAGGGCTGCAGGGAAGGGGACAACTGGTGGGGGTCCTGGGCCCTGACACTGAGGTTCCACTCTTCCCATGACCACTCAGAGGCCCGATCCAGCCCAGCGTGCAGTGCCCTGTGCCGTGGGAAGTCAAATCAACGGAACACCTCTCAGTGTCCTAGGCAAGTATCTGGGAACCCCCTCAGCCCTCGGAGCCTGCTGGTGCTGCCCTTCCTTTCAGGGGCTGGCGGGGGAGCAGCAGCTCCTTACAGAGTCCCCGGTAGCGAGAGAGCTGCTGGTAAATCTGCTTCATTCGCTCAATGTTGAGCCGGCTGGTCTCGGCGTGGTTGACGATGGGCCGGGGGTAGTCCACACCGATGATGCACTTGGCTGCCTTCTGAACCGACTCTGGGGCATTCCAGGGCTCATAGATGTATCGAGAGGGGAACCCTTTCAGTTTGGGCAGGTATCGCCTGAAACGACACACCAGACAATCCATCAGCACAGCAGGGCCATCTGCAAAGGGCCAAGGGTATCCCGTCCTAGGAGGAGGCCACAGTGGCCAGTGGCAGAGAGCCTGGTCTGCGCTCTCACCTGATGTAGTCACCGCTGGGGTCCGTGCGGCGGCCGAAGCCCACGGGGCAGTAGCAGTGGAAGAACTGCTGGAAGAAAGCGCTGCAGGACAGCCACATCCAGCTGCCCGCATTCACGCTGAAGTCTGCATCCAGGAGCAGCTCATCAAACACCTAGATGGGGGCCGGGTGGGCCATCAGCCTACCTGGGTACCTACTGCCATGGTTCTTCCCAAGTCATTATATACCCCCTGAAGAAAAGAGCCAACCCCCTTCTATGCCCTCTGAGCCCACAAGAATTTGGAGGGGATCTCCTGGGCCCAGGGATCCCACCCCATCCCCCAGCCCCGAGGGGCTGCCCTCGGCTGGGCCTGACTAGAGGGCACAGGCCAGCTCCCCGCTGAGAGCACTCACCCGGACCCCGCTCTCCCAGCTGACCCAGAGGTCCCCGCGGGTGAGGAAGCAGGCCACAGCGTGCCGGGCCAGGTGGTGGATCCAGCCCTCCTGCCTCAGTTGCGTCATGATGGCGTCGATCCAAGGGAAGCCTGTCTTGCCCTCGGCCCACTTGGCCAGGGCCTCAGGGTTGCGGTCCCAGGGGATCTGGATGCAGATGGGGTTCCCCTCCATGCGGTCGAACCTGGGGTTGTTGGTGGCTGCTGTGTAGAAAAACTCTCGCCACAGGAGTTGCCCAAACAGGGAGAGGGGAGGTGTGCTGTTTCGCTTCACCTGGGGGTGGGAGGAGCATGTGGATATAAACACTTGCCCAGCTCTTGTCACCGTGTCCCCAGACCTCTCCCACGAGGGAATTTGGAGCTGCCATGCACCTGGTGGCTCCAAGCCCCCTAGACATGTGCAGGGACTATCACAATGTGCCCACAGGCTGGACCCCAGGCCTGGCTGGGCCCTGCTCTGAGATGAGAATGGCTATGGAGAGGTGGGCAGTGGAAAGGGACAAAGGACATCACTGAACTCTTCCCTGGGAACCAAACCCCCCGACTGGCTCATAATCCTCGCCCTCAGGGGCTAAGTTTGGCTCTACTTTCCAGACCGTCAAAGGGACTCTCCCATCACCACACATGAAAAATGCTCAGTCTAGATTTTGGTTACTTAAGTTACACACTATAGCCGGGATCTGGGGCCATGAGGAATGTGAATAGGGTGTGCTGCCCTCTCGCCGTCTGGGGATGGGGACACTGCCACAGGATCTGCCTACAGTCTGCATGGCATGGCCCACATGCAGCCCCCGGGCATCTCCTCATCACTAACGGGCAGCAGCCACCCCTGAGCTCCCCCTCGGTGCTCTGGACACAACCCCGAGAGGACCGCGGTGCTCTGCAGCCTCGCTCTCCCTGCGTGCTGCCCAAGTGCTCGCCCCCCTCACCTGCTGCCAGCAGACCTGCCACCTCTAGGGACACACCGAGGCCGCTTTTCTGCCTGTCCTGTTCTACCCGGTAACCTGGACTTCATGTAGATCAGCGGTCTGGGCTCTGCCCGCTCTTGGATGTGGACTCTTCCCCACCTTCTCTGACTACATGCTCACTTAAGCTCCTCCAGGATTCACAACCTAGTTCCCAGCCCCAGGACCAGAGGGAAGGCCCGCTTTCAGGGTGACTGAGAGCCCTGGGAGGCCCTGGTCCTCTCTGATGCAACTGGGGGTGGGCCGTGCTGTCCTCACCGTGTCCTCACCTACTTATTTATTTGTTAATCCCCACCCAAGGATATTTTTCCATTGATTTTTTTTGGATAGAGTGAAAGGGAGGGAGGGAGGGAGAGAGAGACACACATCTATGTGAGAGGCACAATGATTGGTTGCCTCCGGCATGACCCCAACTGGAGCCAGAGATCAAACCTGCAACCCAAGTACGTGCCCTTGACCAGAATCGAACCCTCAACCCTCCGTTTCACTGGCCGATGCTCTAACCGCTGAGCCGCAGCGGCCAGGGCTGTGCTCACCTTCTTATACAGGTCCCACAGGCGGTAGTAGAAGAGGCGGCAGGAGAGGCAGCCGAAGCGCAGGTAGGGGCTGAGGCCCGTGGGGCTGGCCAGCAGGGAGTTGGCGTTCATTCGGGGCCTCTCATAGCTGGCGACCCAGGCCTGCATTGAAAGAGGAAAGGACAGGCCTGGGTGTCAGAGGGAGAGACGGAGGCGCTGGTGGCTACGGCGTTGGCCTGCGGTCACAGGACAGAGCCGGGAGCCAGCACTTGTACACCGCGCTCACTTCTTCAGGCTGGCAGCGTTTCAATGGACCGGCACAGCCCAACTATGAGGCCCAAGTTCCGGTGCCGACTCTGCTATTTAAGTTGTGGGATGATGGCGAACCAGCTATTTAGTCCCTTGGCTACTTATCTATTAAACGAGAACACATTTCCCATCTCCCGGGGATTAAATAAAATGACAGATGCGGAAGGGCTCTGTAAGCATCGAGTGGTCTGTGATTACACAGAAGAAGGGAAGAAAGGCTTCTGCTTTACAGAAGAAACATCCCTCCCTCAGTCCGCTCTTGTCGCAGCGCTGCTGAGGCTGCTGCTACTGCGGGGCTTCCCGGGAACTTCTCGCCACTTCAACAGCGGTGCGAAAGGAGGGACTCCCGACCCCCTCCTGGGGACCACCACGTCCCGCACTGGGCCACTCGTCATAGGGGACTGTTGGTCTTGTTTTCATCATCAGTTGCGGCTGGCGTCGTGCTTTCCTTCGCGACTCCCTTCCGCGTGTTCCCAGTCCTCTGAGGCAGCAGTTATCATGACCTCCTTTTGAAGATGACCCAGCAGAGCGCCAAGGGCCGTGTGACCCTCTGGGCTTCCAGGGATGGTAAGAGACAGGGCTGGGGGAACTTCGCTTCTGACTCCAGATTCCAGTCTTTTTGTGCTACATCCAATGACTGTGTTCCCTCTCTCTCAACCCCTCCTACTCTCCTCTTCGTGATGACTAATTACTTCTCGCACGCGGCACCCTCTGCAGACCTGCTCCATGCTTCCCCCACCCTTCAGCAGACGGCCTTCCTTCCTTATGATTAGGAAGCGGAAGCCATCAGGTGGGAAACACCTCAACTTTAAGCCACCAAATCTACAAACTCGCCTGCGTCCCCACCTACCCTCCATCCCTCCCGACCCTGCACAAGGCCAAGGCCTCCGCCTGGCTCTGCAGACCTCCCCTCGCCCTTCTCTTGCACGTTCCATCTCTCTACAGCTTCCACTCCAAGAACACTGAGGACATAATCTCTTTTCTTTGCAGACAAACATACAAGCAAAAATAAAGGACTTCTGGTAACTCTGTGGACTTCTACACTTGGGTCCTCTTCCCGCCCTTCTCAGCCAGGCCCTCTCTCCATTTCCTCGCACCCACCTCCACCCTCTAGCCACCCTAGTCTGGCTTCGCCTTCACCACTCCCACCAAGCTGGCTCCCACCATCGCCTCTGTGATTTCCATGCCGTGAATCCTGCAGGCATTTTCTGTCCTTGTATTTCTGGACCTGTCAGTAGCACCTCACCCTGCTGACCCCCTGTGCTGTCCATGCCCTCCATTCTGTTGGCCTCTGGACTCCACATCCCACCTGGCTGGCTGCTCGTCCACTGCCCCTCCAGACCCGCCAAATGTTGGCATCCCAAGGTTCTGTCCTGTGTCCTCCACTCAATTGTTCCTGTGTGAGCTTATCCAGGCCCGTAGCTCCTGAGACGATCTCTGCAGACGATTGTCATGTCTGTGCCCTAGCCCAGACCGCTCACCAGACCACTCTATCCAACTCCCTTTAGGAGAGCTTTCAGGCACCTCAAGTGCAACAGGCTCTTGTCCTTAAACCACCCTTCCACTGGCATTCACTAGAGAAGAAAATACACCTAGTTGCCTGGCTTATCACCTTTGGCTCCTCCCTCACCCAATCCTGTCAGTGCTACTGTCCCAACATTTTTCAAATCTGTCCTTTTCTTTCCATGCTCTATTACTACCAACCTGGCTCAGGCTAAGGTTGTATCTAGACTGACAACTGTAGCGGCCTCCTAACTGACCTCCCTGCATCTCTTCTCGTCCCGAATAACCCAGTCTCCACACTGGGAGCAGGATGAACATTTAAAATGCCTGTCCCTTACGACAATAAGTGCACTGGGCTTCCTGCTGTTCTCAGGATAGATTCCCGAATCTTAGACATGGCTTGACGTTCCTCCCTAATTTGGGTGGGCCCATCTTTGTGGCTTCATCTCTTGTCACTCTTCGGTAAGCACTAGGCTCATTAGCCTTTGCACATGCAGTGCCCTGGCGTGGAATGCTATCTTCCTTTCCACTCACCTCCCCTTGGTTAACTTGGACTCTTCCTTTAAGTCTCAATCTAAAGGTCACTTCCTCTGCAAGTGACCCCTCAGGTAGTAGGTTATGTACCCCTAACTGGTACGAAGTGTGTTTGCCTACTCACATCCTTGCTCACCTCACTGTGAAGAGTAGATGTTCACTTCGGGGCTAGAGAACTGAAGTTAAAATAACCCTCCTGGAATCAGGTTAAGCTCCTGTCCATCAGGCACCTACTGTTCTCGCAGATGTACAGGACAGTATTCCCTCTGGCCACCACTGAGTCCTCGGGGTCCTGACACAGAGCTCCATGACAGAAGAGGCCCTTCAGGCACGTGTGGAAAGGGAGCCCAGGACTTGCCGATCTAAGGGGATTCTTCTACAAAACGCCTTTAAGGTGATAATAATCCACAGGGCCATAAGTCAGCTCTTTGCAATTTTAAGTCTTATTCTACTCCTGCCATCATCCCATTTGTTACCTCTACTCTTCTGTCCCCTCGGCCCACCTTTGTCTCCAAACTGATCCTAAGAATCTCTGGGTAAAGCTCCTGATGTGGACGGAGACAGCTGGTTCCCCCACAGCCCTTGGGCATCAGTTCTCATCTTTTTAAGTCAGTGGAACTTGCTTTCCACTCTGGCTGATGGCAACAGCCAAATGGGGACATCATGGCTGCTGGGCCTCAGGCAGGCTGGGCCCTCCGCACTTGCAGGACTGGGAAGCATTCTTCTCAGTGGGGCCTGCCTTAGCCCCTTGTTCCAGTGTCGCCTGGCTGCTGGGCCAAATGCCTAGCCATCCAGCAGGAACACAAAAGTTGCGATTTTAGGGACCAAGTCTATAAACTAGCCGCAGGGGGCAGAAAACTAGGAACTGACTGTCCAGTCATGAGAACCTTCTCTGCTCCCCTGGGGCCAGGGTGGTGGGGGCCATGTGGCATTGTTAGGAAGTGCCTCTGGGGGCCTCTTTCCTTTCCTTTGCCAATTCCCACTTCACTGGGAGGTGCAGCCATCTGTTCTCTGTATCCAAGCAAGTGGAAACCTATGCCTTGGAGGGGACTCAGCAAAAGGTGGGAGACACGTAGACACAAAATAATTAATCTTATGGACTTTCCTGATCAGATACCCTCTTAGTTAGGGGAACATGCCCACAGATGAAAGAAAGCAATCTAATGGAAGTTTTAGAATCACATAGAATGAGATCTTACTCGACTACTTACTAACTATGTGACCTAATCTACAAAACAGAGAGCTGAATACCTACTTCATAGGGCTGTTGAAAAGATTAAAGGAAATGATGTGAGCAGGCACTTAACCCAGATCTGCTCAGCCCAGTGACCAGCAGGTGGTAAGCTGCTAAATGGTAGCTGCTGGTATTGCTATGGTCACCAGGAAGATTTTTTATTTTTCGACCACTTTGAGCTAGGACACACTAAGGGACATGAACTTGATTCCATACCCCATACCCCATACCCCTCATTGCATGGGTGCCAACAGTTGAAGTTCTATGTCTCAGAAATGGGGTCATACCTTCCGTTCCAAGTGCTTATCCAGGCGGGCCAGAGCTTCTGTCTCTCCTCCTTGCCAAACAGCTGGGCCAAGCCCTTCAGTAGGGAACCCTACAAGAGGAGCAGGTCCCAGGACTGGAGGTCAGGTCAGGCCTTTCTAGTGCTAACTCAGCAGGTCTTGGCACAATGGTCTTAGAGCTTTGCAAGAACTGAATCGTTGATGTTCTTGGTGCTACTGGGGCTGAGAAAATCCTTAATGTTCCAGTGTTTTCTAGATCATCCTGGTTCCCTTCCCCCTGTGACTTTCCCCCTCCTTTCCCTTGCCTTACCATCCCAGCCACCCCTGCACCCGGGCAGAGGAGAGCAATCCTAGACTGCCCTCCCTTTCGCGTTAGCTGACAACAACTGTGGGTGAGAAAGCTAATTTGTTTCAGATCAAAATTTGGGAGTGGGTAGGAAGGGGAAAGGGAGTAGTAACCCGAGAGACTGAGGGAGAGACCCTCCCCTTCAACAGAAGGAATATTAGTTATCTTGGTATTGAAAGCCCATGATTGCCAACATCAGACTATGCTTACATCATTTGAGAAGGACAAGTACAAAAATAGAGGTATGAACTAGGAACATAAGATGACTTATATGAGTTCCAACAGAAAAAAGATCGGAAGGATGTATTCCAAAATTACCTCTGAGAGGTGAGTAATAGTGATTGGTTTCATTTTCATTTCCTCTACTTTCTAAATTGTCTATAATAGCATGCATTACTTTGACAAAGGAGGAAAAAAAAACCCAATAAAGATATTTTATAAAAAAGGAGGTGCTGGCCTAAGAGGCTTGGGTTGGAAGCACGTACCCAGCTCCTCCAGGGAGGGCACACCATAGGTTTCATCGTGATTCTCCTGGATCTCGGCCGGGCATCTCCCCATCTGCTGGCTGGTCACGGAGCCCACAGGCTTCTTGGGCAGTTCCATGCGGCTGATGATGGCCTGAAAACGCTTGTAGGTAAGAGGTGGCTTCTGTCCATTGAGCTCAATGATCCTGGGAATTCCAAAGCATACCTAACGTTACTCACAAGGCCCTTCGGGTCCCTGCAAACCCAGATGAGAGCCCAGACTGTGAGGCTTGGAGGGTACCTTTCCTTCTCTGCTCACAGGTCGCACCCCTAAGTGGAAAGGAGAGGCGAGGGAAGCTACAGCTCCATTTTACCGAGGAGAAATGAGGCCCAGAGAGCTGGAGCAGGTGCCGCAGGTAATGGAGCGAGGCAAGGCCAAAGCTTGCACTCAGTTCCAGGTTCCCTGGTGTCGACGTGGAGCCACCTAAATGCAGAGACTGACTAGATCTCTCTAATCACGGAAACATCCCCACTAGCCTTCTTGGAACTTGGCCTGGCTGTCCACGCCATGGGAATCCTCGTGGGCCTTCCTCTCTGTCCTGGCAGGAGCCTGGAGGAAGTTCTTTGATACGGGCTGCAAATGTGCTCCTCTGTGGAACAATCATTCCCTCTTGGCCCCTATTTTCTAGAACAAAGAGGAACAGAACGGCCTCTCCTCCCTAAATCAGAGACTGGGATTGGGGTTATTAATAGCAACAACTAACACTTAAAGGTTGTTTTGCAGTTTACAAAGTATTTTCTCATGGGTAAGAGAAACGTAGCAGTACTCAGGTAATAAGCAAAGATATAGGAGAGTAGAGAATTGAGGCTGTTTATATAGGGATGCATTAGGATGGGTTAGAGTCAGATTCCCGGGGCTCTTGATGGCGAAGCAGCAGCTTATGCAAACCGGGTGGCGGGGTGAGTTCATTTCTGGGTCTGGCTCTCTCTCCTCCACTAGGGGAGTTATGAGGTTGGCTGCTGCCCCTGCGGCGCCTCCCCCGGCACCTCCCCGCTCCTCCGCACGTGGCCGGAGGAGGAGTTCCACACCCAGCACCTCCTCCTGAGAGCTCCACTCACGTGCAGAGCTGTGTGACCCGCCTCCTGGCAGCCACCTCGGGGTTGGGGAGAGGGAGGTGGGGGAAGTGGTGGCTGCCGCCTTGGCAGGCACAGTAGCAGCAGCAGGAGGTGACAGCCCTGCCAGGGAAGGGGAGGAAAGGGTTTCCTCCTAGAATCTCTGAAAGCAGAGGCCTGTCCCCAGGGAAGGAGGCCACTCTGTAGTTATCAGCTCCCTGCAGGGATCTCTGGAGCCTCCTGAGCAAGCTCTATATGCATGACCTGGAAAACCAGAGAGCCAGGGGAGCCCAGGGGGCTCATATCAGGTACCGAAACGGCCTGTGAGGACAGAGATCCTATGGGAGGGGTAACATTTAAGGTCCACTGAGGTCCGAGGGCAGCCTTAGAGGAGTGGGCGGGACTGTGAAGACCTTCGGGGATATCCTTACTGCTCCATCCCTTGGACCTAAAGAGTCTCTTTGACCCAAACCAGGTGAAGCTCTTCCTGATCTGTTCTACAAGCCCAACTCTAGTCCATTCTCCTCTAGCTTCTAGAAAACGCCGAACCTCATGTGCGTGGTGACCCTATTGCTAAACCTCCCTGACTTCTGCTCAGCAGGAGTCCGAATCACCACCTCCCACAATCGGTAACCTGACCCCTGGGAACTATTTCTTACCTGTCCAGGTCATAGAGAGTATGAGAGTTCTCGGTCACCACCTCCACGCCAGCCTCCTTGGCCATCTTCATGATGGCGGCATCCCGTTCTTTCCCAAAGGGTTCGGAGTCATATTCAAAGGTCAGGCGGGTCACCCCCCATTCCTGTGGAGAGAGAATATGTTATGTTAAACACTGTCTGGGGAGTAGGAGGAAGCTGGGCACTCAACTCCTTCTTGTGAGGAAATAGAGCAAGCCTAGAGACCTGTCATATGGGCTGCAGAACAAACTAGGGATGACGATTTGAACTGGTAAGTAAATAACCCGAGGTTCACAAGGTTTGAGGGCAGGACTCTGAGGTGAGGCCAAGGGCACAGCACCATCGGAGCCTGAGGCTAGTGGTCTCTGGAGTCAGGGGAGAGGCGGGTAGCCCCGTGCTCTTGCTGTGTCCTTGAGGTAGGGGAATGCAGCAGGAGGCTAGACGTACAATGCTCTCAGGGGAGCCCCCTGTCCCAGAAAGAGGCACTGACTCACTGGTGGAGACAGCAGGGGACAGGCTTGCCACCTCCCTCCTGCTTGGCAAGCGTTTCCCAGAGCTCCTCAGGGCCCTGCAAACTTCTGGCCTAGTTTTCTTGGCAGACTTGTACTATGTGGAGTGTCCTAATGGTTTCCACAGCAACACTCCTGAGGCCAGCAGCAAACAAAGCTATAGGCCCCAGCTCTCAGAGTCAGGGAAGGAGGAGCAATCCTTAGTCCAGAGGTCACAGGAATAAAACCAGATGGGCCACATGTTATAAAAGAAGGAAATTCTTTTCTAAGCATTTAGTTTTTTTTCTGATAAAAATGTCTAGATTCCCTAGGAATGTTGAAAGAAAGCTGCCCTGTGAAAGGTTGTACAGCTAACCCACAGAAAACTCGAGAAAATGCAACTAGCAAAAAGAAAATCATATTCCAACCAGTCTCTGGTCATGGTCCCTTAAAACTGTGAACCCCTTGTGGCAAATGCCTGGGGTATAGGTCCTGAGCAGGGCTGGTTATTATCCTTGTCCAAGGATACTAGCACTAAACGTTTATGGAGCCCTTACTATGAGCCAAGCACTAGGCTTAGAAGTTCATACAAATTACATTGTTAAATACTCATTACCCTGTGAATAACAATCAAATGCTATTAGATGACATCTTCTCCAAAGCCTTCCTTGAATTTCTCCTTCAATATTATTCTTCTGCACTGTGCCCTTTTCCCATCACAGCATTTAATACATGGCAATGAAGTTGCCCATTTCTTGTCTGTTTACCCCATTAAAGTGGAGCCTCTCAGAGCAGAAACCATGCTGTCTCATTCATCATGATGCTGGTACCTAGTATGGGGCCTAGTACATAGTAGGAGCTCAGTCAGTATCCACTGAATGACTGATCTGTGTCTGGGCTGCACTGGGCTGGCTTGGGCGGTGCTGGGAGAGAGTGGGCAATGTGGAGGGAGAAGACAGGCAATGTGTTCAATGGCGTAGAATCAGAGAGCCTGGGCTCGAATCCTAGACCACTTCCTAGCTTCATGACCATGGGCAAGTTATTGTTTTCTCGTCTGTACAGTAGGGACAGCAGCACCTAACTCAGGGCTGCTGTGAAAAGTAAGTGAATTAACGTATGTAAAGCACTTACGTAGAACAGTCCCTGATTCATAATCAGCCCTGAATGAACACTGTGTGCTTTGTGCGTGTGCGTTTGTGTGTGCGGCATGTGGGGAGGTGAAGTGAATGATGAAGTGTTTACTAAGCTGCTTGCCTTGACACAAGACCTTCCGCCCATCTTTCCCGCAGAAAGAGCAGGGAAGGAAGTTGGGTGGAGAGGAGCCTAAAGACAATGTGAGTGCTGAGGCTAGGGGAGGCCATCCTAGAGCCCTGTCTGCGAGTACTTCTGCCTCTGCTTCGGCTTTAAAACGAGCTTTATAAAGGGGCTGGGGGGGAAAGTGGGCTGGCTATCGGACATAGGCCTATGTGGTACCCCAGGAAGATTTCAGCAACCATTTACCCCGGAGGAAGCAGGGATGCGCTCTCGAAAAGCCTGACGTTTTTTCCAATTAGCAGAGCAAAGAAAGACAGGAAACGCCCCTTGCTAAACAGGAAGCCTCGCCCTCAGACTCCTGGCGTGGGAAGAGCCCTAATAAACCTCGCTGGCTTGGGCCGAGGTAGAATCCGGGGTGGAATAAGTTGCCACATCCCATGTCTGGACTGAGCTGGGAACTTTCCAACAAGACACTGGTTTCACAGAATTTTTTCCTTAACACAGTTTCATTCTGGTGGCAAGCTGACCGGCTGCGCCTGCTCCCAGCTTTTCCAGCCGCAGCGGTCAGACCAGCCCTGACTGTTTCCATGTCCTCAGTCAGCACGTCATCTCATTCAGTCTATGGGGAAACCCCAGGGAGTGGAATGTCACTGTCTTCTCTCGGACTGCACATACCTTGAATAGCCTTGGGAACACGTCAGCTGGCTGTCCGCGGACTACAAACAGGCGGGAGTTCAGTTTCCTTAAACTCGTGTCCAGATCTTCCAGAGACTGAAGTAGGAACCTGCAGAGCCCACAGAGGCCTTGTTAGTGGTAACACAGAAAGAGTCGCTCTCACCCTGCAGGTGTAGCTTAGTTGGTTGAGTGTCATCCCATTCACCAAGAGGTTGCCCATTCGAGGCACATGCCCAGGTTGTGGGCTCGATCCCCAGTGCGAGGTGTGCAGGAGGCAACTGATCGATGTTTCTCTCTCATCGATGTCTCTATCTCTCTCTCCCTCTATCTTCCTCTCTCTCTAAACTCAATAAAAACATATTAAAAAAAAAAAAGAGTCGCTCTTTCCTAGCCAAGCAGGGAGAAGCTGGCCAAACAAGTAGCATCGTTAGTACCAGGACCGGAGAGGCCTAGGGTCCAGGTGTTAAATGGTTGAAATCCTGGTTTTGCCACTTACTAGCCACATGACTTCCGGCAGTTAGTTACTTAACCTCTTTAGCTCTTTTCTAATCCATAATGTGGAGTCGATACTAGTGCCTATCTAACATCCACTATAGAACTGCTAAGAAATGAAAATCAAATAATTCATGAAAAACATTGAGTACAGTGCCTGGCATAAAGAAAACCTGGGTTAAATGTGAGCTATTCCTACTCTTGTTCCTCTGTGATCAGAAGCCACTTCTTCCCTCTCAGCCTGAGGCCCTGTGTGTAAATATCCACCCGTCACAAGCTTGCTCTGAGATTCAAAAGGGATGAGAAAGCCATCTGAAAAACACGTGCAATGGTGTGGTGACCAACGTTGTCAATGTTATTATATATCTGCTTTGCATTTTAAGTGTTTTCTTTTTAATTCTCTCAACACATTGTGAAGGGAAAAATGATCTTCACTTTATAGATGAGGAAAATGAGACACAGAGAGGATAATTAATTTGCTTAAGATCACAGTTATTAATTAAGTGATGAAGCTGGGATAGGAAACTATCGGTCAGACTGTTTTCTTCTCTATTCCCCCATGTCTAAGCCCTCTTAGTGGCATGCCAAACACTGCTGTAGGGGCTGCGATTCTGCAGGCCCTCTCTCTGACAAACACGAACCTGACTACAGGTAATCCACTGACATTGATCTTCCTCAGGAACTAAGTCCCGACAGGTCATACTCCTGCTATCTATCTACCGCTCAGCCTCTCCCACCCATCTCTGACAGTAACAAGAATTGCCAGATTTTACTTCGAGCACAGTGAAACCCTGTGCCTCCTCGACATCACTTCACATTCCTTGACTACTGGAGGTGTACAGAATCAGCGTCTGTTCCCAGGCTGCCAACTAGAACCAGCCCCCGCTGCTACCTCTGACGTCTGCAACATGACACTCCCACTGGGCGAATGCCACAGACGCACATTCCAGCACGAGCTGAGCCCTGGCTCAGCCCAAAGCAGCCCAAAGTATCTGCTAGCGTAAGGGCTGCGGAGACTCTCCAAGGGGTTGCATGGGAGCCGGACCTCCAAGGGGGTTGCGATGGGAAGCTGGCTGGCTGGCTGGTGCAGTTATGCAAACCAAAGGCTCCGCCTCTGAGAAGTTCTGTTTTTGAAAAGCTGACACCCTCAGAAAGGAAAGCTGAGAGGTGAGTGACGCACTTGCGCTGGCGTCCTTCCAAACCTCACCACTCCTCTCGGAAGGAAAATAAGAAAGAACCATGTACATAACCTCGTGCCATCTGAAACCTGGGCCCTGCCAGACAGAATGCCTAGAGATAACTGGTAACAAATTACACAACCCCAGGACAGCTGGTTCTCCGTCTGCGGGTCCCAGGAATGTCCTTGCCACGCACTTTGGGGGCCTCTTCCTTCATTTGAAGCTATAAATAAGGCTAACGTACATTTGAAAGCTAGCTTCCAGCTGCCTTCCACAGAACTTTATTTCTAGACCTCATGTACTAAAAGAAGAGATTCCTTGCAACATCTCTCAAGTATAGATAATCCCTTTCCATCTTTGACAAGAGATGTCTAGAGCGGAGGTAGGAAGCAGAAGGCCCAACTCTGCGCATAGCAACCAAATAATAATAATGATAATAATAGCAACAATGAACATTTAGTATTTACAATAAATAAGGCACTATTCTACTTGTTTTATATACATTATCTTATTTAATTCTAAACCAGCTCTATGACATAGATACTATTATTATTCCCATCTTAGTGATGAGAAAACTGATGCATCAAGAGATTACCTAATTTGCCCAGCATCACACCTAAATAAGTGGCCAGAATTCAAACCCAGGCAGTGTGGGTCAGCATTTATATTCTTGACCACCAGGCTCCGCTGCCTCTTGACCAGGACTCACTGCCTGAGCACTGACACTCTGCTGCCCAGGACCTTTGCTCCCTGACACTTGCCCCTCTGGGGATCAACGGCTGTGACTCACCCAGAAGCTTGGTGAAATGTGTTCTCTCAGAAGCTCCACCCCGACCTCCAGAATCAGAATCTGCATTTTAGCGAGATCCTCTGGTGAATCCTTTGCACTTGAAAGTTCCAGAAGCACTGTTCTAGGAAATCGAACTTGAATTCTAGCTCTGGTTATGTTGCCTTTCTTTGGTTCTCATTGGTGTCTACTAAACTTTCTCTCTTTGAGATCCAGATTTCTGCCTCCTCTTTGGCATTCTAGAAATGTTGCTACTTCCAACTTCCCTTCAAGTCCTGCAGGGCTCCTCCAGGAAGGGAGCCCTCAAGATGGCCCCCACAAGAGGCAAAAGGCCTCTAGGAGCCCAGCCTGCAGGCAGCCAGGGAGATAGAAGCCGCTGCACAGCACCACCTTCGCGGCCTGCCAGGTGACAGCTTTGCATGACACCAAAGGAACCGGGGCAGTGCTACTCCTGGACAAATGCTCGCGGGGGCAGGTACGCACAGAGAAGCTTAGGCCCTTTGTGCACCCTTCGAGCCCCTCTCTCCACACGGCCAGTTTCTCTTTATTTCAGTGAGGGGGTAGTCTAAAGAAAATTGGCCTGGGCATTGGAGATGGCAGAGTTTGGGGCTGATAGTTCACCCTTGGCAGCTCCAAGCTGAGCTCACATGGCCAAAATTCAGAGCACACGGTCCTGTGTGAGCAGTTAAAGCTCACCCTTTGGATCAGACAACATGTACAACTGAATGACATTACATAAGTGCTCCGGAGCCAGAGGCAGACACACTGGAGAAAACCAAACTGTATTTTCAGAAATATAGAGAGGACTCTGTAATTCATGGCTCCATGGGGCTAGCCCTCTAGATAGAACAGGCAGATCCTTCAGTTGAGAATAAGACAAGCAGATCTTTAGGGAAGGCCTTCTCTGGAGATGGCAGATTCTGTGTTGAGGAATATTTTATTTATTTGTCAATAGAAGGAGGGAGATGATAGTGAATTCTTTTTTTGGGTCCAGATTACCCTTGATCAAGTTTTTCTGCTTAAAGCCAAGGTTAACCAACTATGATGATGACATCACAGGCTCAACTGGTCTGGCTACATAAAATATTAAGAGACATTAATTTTTCCCAAGTAAGAGAGCTTATTAACCCATAGAAAGGATAACCCAAACCCACAACCCATAGCAGGGATTGATCTCTAAACCCACAACTCATAGCAGGGATTGATCAGTACCAGTGTGAACGGCTCAGAGAAAACCAAATTCCCCTGGCAGTAGACAATGGTTCTCAATCCCCTTCTTGGTGACCAAGTTCCAGGGAAGAACCACCCTCGTCGCCGGTGGTCCAACAGTGTTAGCTCCCAGCACTGGGAAGAGAGACATACTTGTTCTCACCAGGCATTCTGGGGAATTTGCAATTTACCTCATTTATTAATTCTGAGCCATGTGGGCTGATATTTTGTTTCTACCAACTCCTTCTGTCCCAGAAGCCCCTGAATGCAGGTACAGCACAGAGCCAGGGAGCAATGATTTAAATAAAGGGTGAGGTGAACTGTTGCCAGCACCTATCTAAGTTGCAGTAGGGGAGAAAGGTAAGAAAAAACTGCAAGGGCCATTCTGAGTACCCATTTTGAAATCTAGAAGTTGCTCACCCCTCTTCTTTCTCCCTTTGTTCTCACCACAGTACCTCCTTCCAGATGCAGCATATTTGGGGAAGGTAGGGCTGGGAAAATGGCAAAGGGCTGCCCTGGCCGGGTGGCTCAGTTGGCTGGATCATTGTTCTGGACACCAAAAGGTTGTGGGTTCAATCCCCGGTCTGGGCATAGATGAGAGGCAACTGATAGATATTTCTCGCTCACATCAGTGTTTCTCTCTCACTCCCTTCCCCTCTCTCTCTCTCTCTCTCTCTCTCTCTCAAATCAATAAACATATCCTTGGGTGAGGATTAAACAAACAACAAACAAACAAAAACAATAGCAAAAGGACTTAGCCAACTAGTGCTTGACAAAAAAAAAAAAAAAAAAGTCCTGAGGTTCCTACAGTTATAATTAGCTCATTAACGTCCCTCAACCACCAAGACAAAAAGTATGCTAGCCCTTCTCCTATACTAATAAATATACATACTTCCTGGTTGCCTTTCTGTCTTCTTTTACTCTTAGAAAGTGCCATTCATGGTTATTTTAGTCTGATTCATCTTCCCAAAAGCACTGTGCAGGAGGCAGTGTAGGAGGTGCAGGAGGATAATAGAGATCCCAGATTGTGCTCCACCCCCATCTTTCCCAAATGGCCCAGGGCCCACCCTTTCTAGAAAGGCTTCTCAGAGGCAGCAGCTGGAGTGTTTGCAAACCTAGGATGTTATGCTGCAGCACAATTCTCCCAGCTCTCTCCCAGATCCAGACATAGCCCCTGAAAGATGACACATATTGTAGTTATGCAGAGGTACTGCTGGCTCCATCACTGCCCCAACTCCCAGCTGCGTGCACAAAACAGTCTGCAGCTCTGCCCTCCATCTGATCATAGGAGCAGAGAGTATGGTTAGGTGGGGGTGGTAGGAGTGTTTCCAGGCCCAGAAGCAGTTATTATATTTGACTTGTTTTACATTATTCCACCTTCTGAATGCCAAAACTAATTAGACTTCCTGCCAATACACTGTGACACAAGTTGTAGGGCTCAGGTCTGTGGTTCTCTAGTCCAGTGCTTCTCAGGCTTTGCTGCACACAAGAGCTTTAAAAACCCTAATGCCCAGGCCATAACCCAGAACAAGTACATCAGAATTGGGGGAGGAGGGAGCTCAGGCATCTTATAAAGATCCTTCTGTGATTCCCATGTGCAGCAAGACTGAGCACCACTGCTCTAGTCTGCCCCTATTTTTATTTGCTTTTATAACACTTAGTTCTACTAAATTACAGTTGTTCACTTGTTTCCTCCATTAAAATGTAGGCTCCATAGCTCTGGACACCACAATTGCTTGTTTGTTGCTGTGTCCCTAGCAGCGTGGAGAGCAGTGCCTGGCACTCATTAAATAATTGCCCAATTAGTGTCTGCATTGCTACATGGCCTCTGACTTCAGGATTTGACTCAGGCATCAGCTGCCACGTTCCTTTTCTCTTTTCACTGCCTGGAAAGCCCAACCACAAAAGGGTGACCCACAAAAATCCATAAACACCTTGTTCTTAGCAAATCTGAGTTTAATCAACAACAGTTTTTGTTGTTGATTTTTAATCTCCACCACCACAAAGGAGTAGGCAGTCCTATGCAATGTCCCCCACAACCCAATAAAAGAAGAAACTCTTTTGTGACAATGTAACAAGCAGGTAGCCCTATCCTACTGACTATTCTACTGACTGGGTCTGATTGGCACACTGCCACAAGAAGAGAGACCAAGTCTGAGGCTTGGTTTAATGTCCATGGTAGGGATGATCATTTGAGGATGTTTGTCAAACCCAAGCTCCTATCTATGGAAACTGGAGCACAGGCAGGGCAATAGAGCAGCCTGAAAATGGTGTGGGCAGGCTCTCCACAGGACTATCTTTAGTCATTCCCTCTATATAAATGGGGCAGGAGGGGGCATTTCAAAGACCCACTGCAAGGAGCACACACTCTCCTGAAAGGGCACACACCCTGGAGAGGAAAGAATGGTGTGCTGAGAGCCACCAGCCACCATATCCTGGGAATAACGCTGCCTATCAGTGCAACAAGGCTGCAAGCAAACATCCCCCAGAACAATGCAAACAAACCAAATGACCGCTGAGGGACATTTTAAAGAGAGATGGGTACACAATGTCTCAAAGCTCCTTGGTTTTCAACACTGGTTACAGAGACAACACACGAACTACCTCTATTACTCCTTCCCCATGATCCTGTGGACTCCATCTCCTGGGAGTCATCAAAGAGGAGCCTTTGATATCACAGCTTTCCTGCTCCCTAATTGTAGCACACCAGTTGATAAAAATCTAATCTACAGTGGCTTAACTCTCCTTTAAAATCAATCTAACGAGGAGAGGCAGGAGGAGGTGACACTTTGGCTCCTTTTTTTCCCCTTTTATTCTAGCAACCTCAGCTGCAAAGGTAATTCTCCAAAGTAGGTTCAGTACTACTCTCTAGTTCAGGACACACTGTGTCTCTAACTGAACATGCCCTTAAGTTATTTATCTATAATAATAAGGGGGAGACCGGCACTGGCCTTATTTAATGCTAGGCCGGAGTCTCTAGACCCTTCAGAAGCAGGGCAGTCTTGGGGAAGGGAAGCCAGAATGGATGAAAGGACACATTCAAACAAACCAGAGGCTTAGCAGTGACCTCAGGAGCCCAGCAATGGGCTCTTTACTTGAAGAATACAATACTCTCTGTGCCATAGATTCAGAAACCCCACTCTGCTCTCACACCATAATGTCTCCTTTCGCCCCTTCCTGAGCACTAAGAGCCCTAAATCAGGAGTCCTTAGTTCTGCCACTCACTGGCTACAGGACCTTGGGTTGGTCAACTTTATGTCTCTCGGGCTTAAGAGTCTCATCTGCACAATGGGAATCATGCTCTCGGTCCAACTGGAATGTTTGAGTCCCAAGGGGATAACACACAATGCGGAAGCACTCTGTCAGAGCCGAGCCCTGGGCCACCCAGGCCATTGGTACGATGACTAATTGCTTCCCTGGCCCCGGATTCTCCTCTGGGGACCCGGCTCGGTCTCCCGGGCCCACCTCCCCCAGGCCGGGTCTTCCGGCCGTGGGGCCTGAGGGGCAGGACCACCTCCTCTTGAGGGGGGGGGGCTCTTCGCCGGGAGCCCCAGAGGCCAGGTTGCGTTCCTCCGAGCCCGCGACCCCGCCCGGGACCCCTCACCTCCATCGATTGATCCCGACAGAAGAGGAGGCCGCGAACCAAGGGTCGAGGATGTAAACGCAGCGCACACAGCGCGCCCCGCGCACTGCTGCCAGCAGCGCCGGGTTGTCGTGGAGCCGAAGCCCCTTGCGGAACCAATGCACTGAGGAGGCGCCATCCGTGCCGGCCGCTGGCGCCAGGGCCGCCGCTGTCGCCGTCACCGCCGTCGCCGCCATCACCGCCCAGACTGCTCGGGCCACTGCCGCTCCGCCCCTGTCAGTGCCATGGGCTCCGCCTCCAACCCGCCCAGTGACCTATGACGCCGCCGCTCCTCTCTGTGTCCCCGCCCCTCAGGCTCCGAAGTATCTCTGCCATAGGCTAAGAACCTCCCTCCGGGCGATTGGTCTACCAGTGCAGAGTCCGGCCCCGCCCCCTCACGTTCCCACCATGTGTCAGCCGGCATGCAAGCTGCTGGCTGGAGCTCCCAGCGGAGATCTGGACTCTGATTGAGTCTCAAGGGACAGCGGATCTCTTACATGCGTCCTAGTCAAGGCCTGCAGCTAGAAGAAGCTGCTTGGGTTTGGGCGGGGTGGCTGGGGAAGGTTACTGTGACTCCAGACAATGACCTACAGAACTGACAGCCCACAGTCCTGCTCACCATGTAATCAATGTCGTCATCATCATCTACCGCAATCTATTACATCATCTAAAATATTCTACTACAGCCCTGGCCGGTTTGGCTCAGCGGTTGGAGCGCCAGCCTGCGGACCAGAGAGTCCCAGGTTCGGTTTCCGCTAGGGGCACGTACACACAAAAAAAGAAGACCCTTTAAAAGAAAAAGAAAAAATTCTACTACAGCCACCATTTATTGAGTGCATCTTATATGCCAAGCAAAGTGATAATCTCATTATATATACTGTCTCATTCACTACTCTCAACTCAGGACAGTTGCATTCATTCAGCAAACTCCAGGGAAACAATTAATATTCTCATTTTACAGACAAGTAAACTTTGAGGCTGCTGAAGGTTGAGGGACTTGCTCATAAAAGAATTCCAGCCAGATTATTGTGATTTCTAATCTTCTGCTTTTATCCAGAAAGCTGTACTTCCCTCTGTGCTGAGCAACTTGACATTTGCAAATGGCAGAGTCTGAGGAGGGGAAGGAGCGCTCTGATGGGCAGTAGTAGTGGGCTTGAGAGTAGGGACTGGGGATGTGGAGGATGTGGGTTGAGACAGTGATTATCCCATCAGAGGAATTTATTTTCTTCTAGTTCTATGTGTAGTAGACCCCATGGTGCCAGTGTGTGCAAACACTACTAGAATTTCCTTTGTGTTTTTTTTTTTTTAATTTTTTTAAGAGAGAGAGGACAGGAGAGGGAGAGAGACACAGAAACATCAATGAGTGAGAACATTGATTGGCTGCCTCCTGCATGCCCCTCACTGGGTATTGGGCCCACAACCTGGGCATGTGCCCTGACCAGGAATCAAACCGGTGACCTCTTGGTGCATGGGTCAACAGTCAACCACTGAGCCACACCAGCCAGGACCTTTGGGATTTAGATATGTGAGGGACACTGCTTCCACTCCTGACCTGGGGATCCAAATGGAGCCCTCTTATTCTTCTGGAGGCTAGCACTGGGCTTGCTGGTTGACTGAATGGCAAGAGAAGCATTTGAACATCTGCAATGAAGTGTTGATGGTAGGCTAAGATGGTCTGGTCAAGTTGAAACTCTGGGGTTATCAAGTGGAGACGAGTCTGTTTCAGTTTGGCCCTGTTGTGCCCATGCTTGGAACCCCTCCTGAATCGGGAATGAGCAATGAAGGAATTTAGCAGTTTAGTGTCATTGATTGGCACCACTCTACAAACCAGATATCATTTTAATCCTGGGCTCCCTTTCATTTCCAAGGCTTTGCACAAACTGTTCCCTCAAGCCTGGATCACACTCCCCACCCCACTCCACCCCACCCCACCCCTTTTCTAATTCCAGTGTTCCTTGTGTCACTGCTCTATATAAATGTCATCTTCTTGGAGCCATGCAGGCGATCAGCTGCTTCAGGATGAAGTTGAACATCTCTTTCCCAGCCACTGGCTGCCAGAAATTCATTGAAGTGGACAATGAATGGGAACTTTGTACCATTTATGAGAAGTGTATGGCCACAGAAGTTGTTGCTGACACTCTGGTTCAGGAATGGAAGGGTTATGTGGTTCAAATCAGTGGTGGGAAGAACAAACAAGGTTTCCCCATGAAGCAGGGTGTCTTCACCTATGGCTGTGTCTGCCTGCTGCTGAGTTAGGGTCATTCTTGTAGACTAAGGAGGATTGGAGAGAGAAAGCACAAATCTGTTCGGAATTGCATTGTGGATGCCAATCTGAGTGTTCTCAACTTGGTCACTGAAGAAAGGGGAGAAAGATATTCCTGCTCTCACTGGTACTACTGTGCCTTGTTGCCTGGGGCCCAGAAAAGCTAGGAGAATCCGCAACTTTTCAATCTCTCTAAAGAAGATGATGTCCACCAATATGTTGTGAAAAAGCCCCTAAACAAAGAAGGTAAGAATCCTAGGACTAAAGCACCCAAGATTCAGCATCTTGTTATTCCATGAGTCTTGTAACAAACGGCATATTGCTCTGAAGAAACACCATACTAAGAAAAATGAGGAAGAGGCTGCAGAATATGCTAAACTTTTGGCTAAGAAGATGGAGGAGGCCAGAGAAAAACACCAGGAACAGATTGCCAAGAGACATAAACTGTCCTCTCTGAGAGTGTTTACCCCTAAGTCTGAGTCCAGTCAAAAACGAGACTTTCTTTTTTTATCCTCACCCGAGGACATTTTTCCATTTTTTGTACAGATAGAGTGGGAGGGAGAGAGAGGAAGAGACAGAGAGAAACATCGATGTGAAAGGGACACATCGAGTGGCTGCCACCGCACGACCAACCAGGGCTGGGGACAAACTGCAACCGAAGTATGTGCCCTTAGCGGGAACCGAACCCGGGTCTCTCCGGACCGCAGGCCGATGCTCTAACCGCTGAGCCAAACCAGCCAGGGCAAAAACGAGACTTTCTAAGTGTAACAAATGAATAAGAACAAACATTTAAAGAAATGTCACTTTCTTGCTGTCTGGTCCCAGCCTGCATAGTGCCCCATCTCATTCTGTGCTTCTTCATATCACTGGCCTTAGTACATGGTACTAGAATTTCTCATTTGTTTGTCTGCCCTATTAGACTATAAATTCCTAAAGGGCAGGGGCTACCACTTATTTAGAGTTTTATTTCCAGGGTTCAGCTCAGTGCTTGGCCCTTAATGGAGTACAAGTTGAACAAGGACTAGGTTCTCTGGTTGGCAGGAACCTTAAAGGTCTACCCTAGTCCTGACCCTATTCTCATATTTGAATCCCCTCTCCAAATGCTTACTGAACAAATAGATGCCACCTCTTGTCACCTTTCTTTTGAGTCTTTCTGTTCCCCTTCTCCTATCCCTTTTTCTTTCTACACGGTTAATTGTCTTCTAGGAATGGAAAAGAGAGTTTAAGAGGGTGGTTATTCCCTATAGCCTCAAAGATGGGTATTCTTATCTTTTTCTTTTCTGAACTCCCATGATGCTTTCTCTATAGACTGTGAGCTTCATAAGGGCAGAGACTGTGCTTATCTTGCTCATCAGTGTGTTCCCAACACCTAACTTTGTACCTGACATGTAGCAGGTGTTCAATAAATGCCATCTCTCTGGGCCTGCTGGGGATCAGTGCAATGCAATGAACTACAAGCACACACTGGTAGGAGTGAGGGGGAGCACTGCAATAGAGCAAAATGCTCCAGATCTCTGGAAGCAGCCCAATTTATTTGCAGAGTGGTTCCCCAGGTTACATGTTGATTAGGTAAATTATTTCCTTGAGATGGCACCTCTGCTGACCATACAGCCAAGCCCTGTCTCTCGCTTTTTATGGTGAAGAGACATCAAAGATAAAAAATAACTTCTCCTGGACTTCTTTGCCAATTATCCTCTTGGGGTGGTCTTCCAACCCTTTGACATGCAAACCTTGTCTATTCACATGCAAACAAAACATTCAGTTCCAAACAGGGTGGTTTTCCTGCCCTCCAGGCAAACCTGTCTGTCCACACACACTTTGATCCTAGGCTGGCCAGGTTGCGAGAATGCATATCACAAGGTTACATTTTGTTCACCCACCAAACCCTCATCCTTACAAATAAATATTTGCTGAATATCATTTATCCTGATCTTATTAGGCTATCATGAGAGGTAGTGTTGCACAGTGATTAAGCCCAAGGTCTTGCACATTTGGAATGGCTGTGTTCGAATTCTGGTTCTACTTTGACTCTGCATGACTTTGGTAAGCTAGTTAACCTCTCTGTTCCCCTCTTTCTTAACCTATACAATAAGGATGATAATAATAGCTAGGATATAGTAAGCATTTAATAGGCATCAGCTGTTATTATTCTGAACAGCAGAATCTGTGTCTGCTTTTGTCCTCCTTGCAACACCTCACCCTCGGTCTTACATATAATGAGTGCTCTGTACGTTGCTGAGTGAATGAAAGATTTTTTTTTTATCCTCACCCGAGGATATTTTTCCATTTTTTTGTTTAGATAGAGTGAGTGGGAGAGAGAGAGAGAGAGAAACATCGACGTGAAAGGGACACATCGAGTGGTTGAACCCACAAGACCCAACCAGGGCCGTGGACAAACTGCAACCGAAGTACGTGCCCTTAGTGGGACCTGAACCCGGGACTCTCTGGTCCGCAGGCCCACGCTCTAACTACTGAGCTAAACCGGCCAGGGCTGAATGAAAGATTTTACTCATTATTAAGAAGCCCTCAAAATTGTACCAGTAATGAAAAACAAAGAGAAGTCATCACCATCAATGCCCCAAACCAAACAAATCAATTATTTTTTATCTTTATGTTGCCTCCTAGACTTTCTCCACAAATATCTTTTTTATAGCTTTATTTAAAGCAGAGGTGCAGTATTATATGCATTTTTAAACAAAATATTGAGCATATTCTATATTGCTGTGTCATTGTGTTTATTTTAATAACTATATAGCTCATCAAGTTGATAAAGATAAATTATTTTATTGAATGATTGCCTGTTGCCTAGATATATCAACAAGGTTACATTCAAGAAGCAGGAAGTAAATCTGGCATTGGGTAGAATACTGGCCTGCAATGTCCACTTTTGGACTTTACACTTTAAAAGAGACATGGAGAAATTAGAGACCAAAGGAGCATGTAAATTGTTAAGGGGGTGAAATGTAATCGTGTGCTACTATATCTTTGAGAGAAATGAGAATAGCTATAGAAATGTGTG